ACCCCCTGCCATGCAGGAACTCCCAATCAAAGCATCCCTGACAGAACATATATATATATATACATATATATATATACACAGACATATATATATACACACACATATATATACATATATATATACATTCATATACACATATATATAAACATATATATATACATACATATATACACACACACACATATATATACATATATATATCCATATATATATATATACACGCACATATACATATACATATACATATAGGGAAAGCCATAAAACCTCTAGGGAAAGCCATAAAACCTTTAGGAGATGGAGTCATTTTGGTGTTCTTCAAACATTTTGGACTTAAGCTCCTATGAGAGCTCATTATTGTCTATGTTAAGTAGATAGCAGTTATACTGGGAAACATTTGTGGGGCACCACATTGGTGGAGGTTGAATTAAAAGTTTCACACTATTTACTGACAAAATCTTCAGCTAGATACATCTGCTCAGTTGTTTTTGGTGGAGGCCAATTTCTACTAAGCTAAACTCATTGTCATGGCTTCCTCTGCAAGCAGGAAGGCTATATATATTTTTGCTGCTTGAGAAAGCTGAGCAAATTTGGAAACTGTCGAAAGTGATTGTCTTGGATGTAGTCACATTCCCACAACTCATGTTATATCCATGTGTATTTCAGACAGTATTGTTCTCAAAGGAGCAACTAGATCTCTCTACATACTGAAGGACCGACGTTTGGGAATCACTGTCCTAAGGAAACCAAACCTCCAAGGTGTACCCGGAAGTGAAAGGACTACGTGCCTCTTCTAGTATAGCTCTACGCGGAAGCGTCTATGCGGCGGTTGCGCTTTACGACAGGCACCCCGGCGGTGGGCGGGTTGCGACGGAATATATTGTCAGCTACGGTCCCGCTTTACGGCAGGGTGGCGGGGCACGTCAACAGCTATGGCGGAGGGGGAGGAGGCGTCGGCGGCGTCTCCACAGAGCAGCTGGTGAGTTGGACAACCTGGCGGTTAGGCAGCGGCTCCCGGAGGGAAGGAAGGAAGGAAGGAGGGCAGGAGCCCTGGGAGTCTGAGGCTCTCGCTTTCCCTGGCTCCGTGGCTGAAGGCCGGGGAGCCTTGGATTGACTCCAGTGTAAGGGGAGCCAGGATGGCAGAGTGGTTTGAGCGTTGGACTCTGGAGTCCAGGGTTGGAATGGAACCCAGTAGGTGACCTTGGGCGAGTCACATTCTCTCAGCCTCTGAGGAAGTAGGCTCAAGTCTAGGAAAGCTCATGCTACTACCAGCTTCTTTGCAGACTGTTAGAAATAGTGCAAATTGAGTCCACTTTAAGGGTTAGGGTTAGGGTTAGGGAATCATGGGAACTGTATTTTATTGTGTCACCAGAGCTCTTTGACAGAGAAGGCTCAATGTCTCAGAAAAAAAGAACAGTTCCCATGATTCCCTAGCACTAACCCTAACCCTTAAAGTGGACTCAATTTGCACTATTTCTGGCAGTCTGCAAAGGCCCTTAGTCCTTAGTCCTGTACCTTCAAATGCATCTGAAGAAGTAGGCTCAAGTCGAGGAAAGTATACTACCAGCTTCTTTATTTTAGTTAGTCCCAAAGATGCTACAAGATCTCTTTGCAAACTACCACAGGAAAGTATTTCTTAAAAACAACAAGAGTGGGAGAGACCAATCTTTGCTGAACTGAATGTTTTTTGTAGAAGAGGTTGGATGGCCCTCTGTTGGGTATGCGTTGATTGAGAGTTCCTGCATGGCAGGGGGTTGGACTGGATGGCCCTTGGGTGTATCTTCCAACTCTATGACTCTATAAGAATACAGATGTAATAAATAAAGGTTAATAAGTAGCCCTATTCCTACAGGAGTCCTCTACTCTGTGAAAATCTAAAAGCCCTGGAAATATGCCATGATTCTTCCAAAAGGGAACCAGTGTGGCCTAGTGGTTTGAGTACTGGACTTTGACTCTAGAGACCAGGGTTGTATTCCCCACTCAGCCATGAAACCCATGACCTTAGGCAAGTCACACTCTCTCAGCCTCAGGGGAAGGCAGTGGGGAACCTCCTCTGAACAAATCTTCATCTTTGGGTCGCCCTAAGTCAGAAAGGATGTGAAGGCACACAAAAATAACACACAAGCTAGTCATAAAAGCAGAAGGGAGTGGGGAAATACATTTTCTTCCCTATATAATAGGAATTCCCCTGTCTTATTTCTAGAATAACACAGCAGTACTATACACAAGTCACATCAGGTGGGAGTCATGCAGTCCTCCAGATGTTTTTGGACTACAGTTCCTATCATCCCTAACCATTGGTTATGCTGGCTAGTGCTTTTTGAAGTCCAACAAGATCTAGAGGGCTGCATGATTCCCACCCCACAGCAAATGTGACCTAGTGGTTTCAGCATTGGACTAGGACTCAAGATCAAGCTTTGATTTCCAGCCCAGCCATAAAATCCACTGGGTGATGTTGGCCAAGTCACACTCTTTCAGCTTCAGGGGAAGGCACTGACAAACCTCATCTGAACAAACCTTGCCAAGAAAAGCCCATGATAAGTATGCCTTAGGGTCGCCATAAGTCAGAAATGACTTGAAAGCACACAACAACAACAACAACAACAAACCAAATATAAATTATTCTTGTCCCCCTTGGGGGGGGGGTGTATTTCTGACTCCAAGGGAAAATGCACAAATTATTTAAGTTGTCCATTCTTCCAGGTCTAGTTTCATTGTTGCTCCAGAATGAGGAGGAAGTTGCTCAGTGAGTTCAGCCCCCAAGAAATTACCTCCATGACCAGGATGCTTTTGGAAGTTTATTGTCTTTGTGTGCCTTCAAATTGTTTCCGATTTATGGTGACCATAAGGTGATCCTGTCATGGGTTCTTCTTGGCAAGCTTCTTCAGAGGGAGTTTGCCATTGCCTTCACTTGGGCTGAGAGGGTGTGACTTACCTAAGGTAACCTAGTGGGTTTCATGGCTGAGCAGGGAATTGAACCCTGGTCTTCAGAGTCATAGTCCACTAAGCCACACTTGCTCTCTTTTGGAACAATCATGGCATTTTTCCAGAGCTTCTAGACTTTCACAGAGTAGGGGATTTCCTGTAGGAACAGAGCTCCCTATTATTAGCCTTTGTTTATGTATTCTTCTTTTAAAAAAAAATTAGTGCAGCAAAATTGGTCTCTTCCAACCTTGTTATTTTAAAAAATACTCCCCTATGGTAGTTTGCAAAGGGATCTTGGAGCACCTTTGGGACTAAGGGGGGTTGCAGACTGCCAGAAGTAGTGCAAATTGAGTCCACTTTTAGAGTTAGGGAATCATGAGAATTGTTGTTGTTTTTTTCTGAGACATTGAGCCTTCTCTGTCAGAGAGCTGTGGTGCCACAATAAACTACAGTTCCCATGATTCCATAACCCTAATCCTAAAAGTGGACTCAATTTGCACTATTTCTGGCAGTCTGCAACCCCCCTAAAATAAAGAAGCTCGTAGTATACTTTCCTAGACTTGAGCCTACTTCTTCAGATGCATTTGGATGTATAGACTTCCTCTTTTTCTGCTACCTTCAATCTTTCCTAGAGGTATTGTCTTTTCAAGTGAGTCATGCCTTCTCATGATATGGTTCTCTCTGTGTGTATGTGTTTGTATATATAGAGAGAGAGCTCTTTCGTGGACTCAAGCTTAACACACACACACACACACACACACACACACATATATTCATGCATGCATGTTAGGCTGTAGTCTACCAAAGCTCATGCTACCAGCTTCTTTCTTTCAGATAGTCTCAAAGGTGCTACAAGATACCTTTGCATACTGATTTTCCAGGCTGACATGGCAATGTCTTTGAATTCCCTTGTGGTAGATTTGGCTGAGAAATAGTGACCCTCCTACTTCAGGAGTGTCATGGCTGAGTAGAGATTTGAATCTGTAGTTGTATCTACACTGCAGAATCAAAGCATTTTGATAGCACTTTAACTGCCATGACTCTATCCTACAGTTTTCTGGAATTTGTAGTTTGGTGAGGCACCAGAGCAATACCTCACCAAACTACAAATCCTAAGATGGAGCTGTGACAGTTAAACTGGTATCAATCAGCTTGCTTTCTGCAGTGTGGAAGGCCTGTGAGTTTCCCGAGTCTGAGGTCAGCCTTCTGTCCCAGCCTTGCCCAACCTAATGCCTTTTGGGTGTTTTCTACTACCGTTACCAGCACTCCTGTCCATTAGCCATGTTGGCTCGGATTGTTTGGATCTGAAGTCCAGAACATCTGGAGGACACCAGGTTGGAGAAGGCTGCTTTAACCACTTCACCAAAGTGACGATGGCTAAATGGAAAATAAGTGTTTATATGGCTGTTTTTTTTATCATTGTGAAATTTAAATGTAATAAACATGACATTGTATTCTCAAATTGCAAATTTCTTCTGCTGTATATTAAAGTTTGTACTAAGTGGTTGAGTAAGAGCCTAAAACAATCTTCAAAACTGTTGAGTTATGCTGATGAGCAAATGAGTTCAAAGATAATTATAATGTAAGCAAAGGCTGTTGTAAGGTTCCAAAGGGCAGCGTAATGTTGGAAGTCTGTGGCAGTTGAAATGGAAGTTCCAGGGAGGACAAACTCCAATCTTTGTAGTTCTTTTTGACATCTTCCTGATAAATTCACTTAGTTTTATTAGTCATAACATAGTTATCCCATGTTTTGTACAGCAAACCAGAAGTTAAAATTTCAGACAGTTTTTTCAGAGTTGTAGACTCAAATATTTTTAAACATCTTTTATGTGTTGAATAAATGTAGCTAGAGAAGAAGAGTTCTTATTAGCTGCATGTTGCTAGTTAACAAATGTAAGACAATAAAAAGTGCTTTGGAGGAATGCTGAGACATGAGAAGTGTGGCTCACCAGGAAACACTGGGCAGAAGAGCCTAAATAAGTAACATCACTACAAAAACTTAGCTTTTAGCGTCTTCTTCAGTTTTTCTTGCACATGTCCATGCCTTGTACAAAGAAAGACAGTAAACTATTCAGACGCACAATGACATTAAACTATTCAGACGCACAATATTGCTAAAATATAATAACCAGATCCTGAGATCTTTGTCCAAGCAACTCCATTGAAGTTCCTAGCTGTTTCAGAAATATGAACATTTTTGTGCTGCAGAAGTACAAAACATACTTGGGGGAGATATCCCCTACCTAGTGCAATGAGGACTGAGCATCCATGCTGGTTAATTTCTGTAGAGGAATGACAAAACATGGAGATGGGGGAACTGGGGTATACTAAAAGAAGTCCAGACTGAATGACATTGTGAACAAGGAGCAAGCCACAAAGGCCCCGTTTGGAACACCATATTAAATTCACTGTGGGCCTTTACAGACTGCCAGAAATAATGCAGCTTGAGTCCACTTTAATTGCCCTGGCTGAGTGCTAAGGAATCATGGGAACTGTCATTTTTTCTGAGACATTGAGCCTTCTCTGT